ACCTATATTCTTAGAAATGCTATTCATGCAAGTGGTGGAGAGATTTCACAGTTAGCTGTCAGTTGCTCTTCAATTCTACGTGTTCGAGTTCACTACCAGCCTGAAACTGCAAAAGCAATGAAAGCATGTGACACTTGTTTGTCCTTCAACTGCATTACCACAGTGGAGACATTGCTTCACCAGTCCCAGAAGAACATTTTAAAACTCCAAGTAGCTTTTCAGTTTATTTTCCTGTAATGACTACTTGGAAGCCTGTAAACTGATTCTTGGCCTGAGATGTCTTGAAGGATCTTACTGCCCTAAGATCGGACAGTTAGGTGCCTTTAGGATCAAAAGGCAAGGTTTCAGTAATGTGCTTCGACACAATATCAGGCAAAACTGGCCATAGAAGTGGTGCCTGTACACTCAATGAGCAAACAAAAAGCTTACGTGCAGGCATAATATTTATAAAATTGTCATCAAAAAAGGTCTTTTCCACTTGTTTTGGTTCTACCAGTAGTCTTCACATTGCCATCTTAAAGATATTTCAACAATTCTGTGTGCATATCAATAAGAACTATAAGATTGCCGTGGATGATGATAAAACTGCTCATTCCATTGCTGATTGTTGGTATCAGATGATTTCACTTGCAAATAAATGTTTGCAAAGTCCACAACTAAGAAATGATTACTAAGAGCTTTTAGAACATCGGATTACATTTCTTGGGGATGTGCCTAACCGAGGAACTTACTTTCAATATCCTGATGTCTCGCACCGTGCACGATGGGTGGCTCATATCATTTATGACCTAGAAAATCTGGATGTTTGAACAACAGTTTTCCTTCACAAGTAAAGAGGTGAAGGGCCTCATACATTCTAATTCGTTTGCTTCGAAAATCTACCTTAAAGTAAGATTTTATCTTCCTATTTCAACTCCATCTAATGATTTACATTTTCTAAAAGCCATTCATTTGTATGACATAAATAATCAGCCAATACATTCCACTGCTATCTGTGGTATCTTACTGGGTTTTCATATTTTGAGGACAGCGTGCCGTCCCTAGTTTAGCAGTGAAAGACAGGAAGGCAGCTAGTCATCACCACCCAACGCCAGCTCTTGGGCTACTCTTTTACCAATGAATAGTGGGATTGACCATCACTTTATAACGCCCCTAAGGCTACAATGGCGAGCATGTTTTATGTGACGGGGATTCGCACCCGCGACATTCAGATTGTGAGTCGAGCGCCCTAACCACCTGGCCAAGCCGCCCTCATGATTATGAATATAGTTATGGAACAGACCTTTTGCATGTTATTATTTGTTAAATAAAACCACAAGATTCAGTTTCTTAAAAACGTAATAAGACATTCTATGTAAAATACCCATGGCAATTTATCTTTTTTTTGCCAGTTTAGGCAAGCTTTTAGTATTTTGAAAATTGGAAGATCGCACGAAAACTGACAACTTCATGTATGAAAATTCGTGTCTTTAATGTTAACTATTACGATATGATAGGAAGTATTAATGCACTAACAATCCACAAATTGCTACGATTACATTAAAAACAATGTAGGAAGGTCGTAGGTCAAGATCAATGGCAAAGGTTGGGCTGACGATTTGTGCCATGTACTTCTGTGTTTGGTGAAGAAAGTATATTAGGTATAACTACAAAACCAAGATAAGCTACTTAAAATTGCTAGAACATTACAGAGAGCCGAGAAAGACGACTACCACTCATCAACTTACAAAGTTATCTAATAAATATCACCTTCGAAACAACTCTACATAATCAATCTCACTCTAAAACTCCGCCTTACCTATTATAAAATCATTAATCACCAAACTTAACCTGCTAAACAGTTGTGTACAATCATTACTTGTTTATCTGTCTGATCGATCAGATTGGCACTGCCAGACCCTATAGTATATTTTTTATAAGCATCTAATCTTACTTTTTAACAATCATCGCTCCCCCACAACTACAATAGACGTACAGTAGTTTAAAAACGTCATAGCCACCCAATACAAATTTACATATCAAGATAGGTCTCTTTTACATTCTTCCTAACTCAAATCAAAAATGATGGATAATTCTTATACAGAATGGCAAAGAGAAAGAAGAGACGCAAACAATGCTATAAAAAGTGGGATAGAGACACACACACATAGATATAATTTATTCTCATAATAGCGTAGGGTAATTCTACAACTGCCGCTTTGAACAACAGGCAATCAATCACATGGCTTCTGCAGAAAATTTGAGCTCGTTTGATGATCAAAATGGTCCACTGTAAAAGAAACCTCTCAGTTGGCCCAAGCAGCGAACTGTCATCAATAAATCAAGTTCAATGAGAACATGTTAAAGAACCCTGAACAAAGAAAGTACAAATTATCGTCGAAAGTGACAATCTAACAGGCTAATAAAGGAGAACTAGTTTCATATATGGCTTTAAAACTACCTTCTACTGTTTCTAACTGGTACATAAGCCCAAAATACAACACAAAAACTAACGATACTTGTACCTTTGTGTGTATAACGAAGGAATCAATAAAACCTCGGGTGTTAAAGTTAACAAAGTTCACATAATCTTTCAATTAAAGCTTGGTTAAAGCGGTTAACTCCATAAGAGTAACAAAAATTATGTATTTATTTATTTTTTAGATCGTCCCTAACTGAAAGACTAAAACGAAAAGCACCTAGTCACAACTGCACCCACAACCAATTTTTATCTTATCCAACAATGGAATTTCACCGTCACTATTACATCGTACTCACTGCCCAAAAGTGCGAAAAACGTATTTACGACAAAGGAACGCGAATAGTGGTGATCTATTGGATTCACACGACGGACAACCTAACTACTAAGCCACGCCCAGCCAAAATTCTGTAGTAAAAAATGTGGGGTTTGACAACGGACGCCAGAAATAACTTCAAGAAAATGTTTAATATAAATTAATAATTCTAGAGAGTACTAAAACAACTGTCAAAACTACTTTAAAAGGAAATGCAGGTTTTTGTTTTTTTGTAACCATAAAAGGGGACTTTATCCCATAAATAGAAATAAAGCAGATAAACCGTTATATATTACCATTTAAACAAAATCAAAACATACAATACACAGATCTTAGGTTCATTTTAAAAATGGCTGATAAAATGTTGAAATTCACTTATATGAAAAAGAGTGGCTAGTGTTCTCATTTTAGTATGTATAGCAACCCATTCACTAGATCACATCAAAAAACGTGTGTATGTCACAGTATTTATACACAATTTGCCCTAAGCTAAACGATCCTTCCTAATATGCACTTAAGAATCAGGTCCACATGAAACAACTACAAAATTTAAGGCCTATATCGATTTTTTATTGCTTTTTCGTTTGAGAGTTATGCTGTGCCTCAACTTTGTTTTTTTTTATCTGCTTGTGCTTCAGGCAGTTAAAAACACACCAAAACTACAGATGAAAAGAAGTCAAGAAAATTCAAATGTTACAAACTCGTAGCAAACGTGCATAAAGTATTTTCAACGTATGATGAAAATAAAAGTCAGATAGATTGAACAGATAAACTATTTGTCTCATGAGAAGTATAATTAACTATAACCATGCTTCGCCAGCTTAGAAAATGCGTTCACACCGTAACAATTCTTATTGTAACAAATGGCTTATATAAATAGTGTTCGGACCATTACTGTGTTTGTTGTGTCCCAGCCTTTCTGATGAGCTCTGTATTCAGCAAAACGCGTCGTCGGCAATGGATATGCCATAAAGAGTGGTTGAAATACTATTATATACTTTTTTTCTTTTTGAAAAACCTTAAAGGACGAAATAAAGAATGTAATGTTAACAATATAATGTGTCCAATACTAATCTCCTACGACAAGTATGACTATTTATAACCATGCTTCACCAGTTTAGAAAGGGCGTTTAGAGACATGAATAGTTTGAAGAGGGCAATTTGGATACTGAAAGAACCTAGCACCACCGAATACAACTCATAAAAGAAGATTTAACAACTGTGGTTCAGTGATGTTTTTTTTCTAAGTAAATTATCATTCGGTCCCTATGTCACGCAACATAAAAATATATCAGAAACATATGACTTGTGGCGTTTAAGTATCAGGAATATACAACTTAGTAGTATAGTAACTGCAAGAACTATCACCGTTTCTACCATAAGAAAAGTATTATTTCTCATTTTGTTTTTTAAAACAAATTCAACGAATAATTATTAATAAGAACTTTCGAGCGAAAGTAAAGAAGTGCATAGTAATATCAACCACACCATATCTGCTATATCCAGAACTAATGTTCAAGGAAGATGAATTTTACTACCATAGACTTTTACTACGACCCTTGTTTTTAGAAGCTCTCACCTCCTTCCTGGAAATTCTTAATCGTAAATTGGCAGATAATTCTATATACAAATGTGCATCACTAAATAGCTATTACCAACACGAAATGAGTTTTGTACTAAAAAACAAAGAAGGCTGTTGGCTACCAAGTTCTTAAAGATTTCTTTACAAACCTTACGTTGAATTCTTATTTTCTTCAATGCCACACAGGAATTTCTACTTGTGAAAACAGTTTGATATTCTTATGTGCAATTATTAAAATTAAACAGAAATTGGGTAAATGTATTAAATCTAGCAACAGGGTTTCATACAAAGTAGGATGGGGGACAAAAGCAAAATCCCTTAACAAATCCTGAGGCTGTTAATATAGTGTATGTTCTATGTAACAAAATACACGTTCTACACAAGTTAAAATCATGAGGCTGATAATATAGTTATGTTCTATGTAACTAAATACACGTTATACGCAAGTTTATTAGTTTGTTAAGCGAAAAATTACACAATGGGCTACTTGCAGTGAATTACATTATATACTCAACATATGTATGAAATGAAAAACTCCAAAATATAAAACCTCTTATTACACTATTGAAAAATATAAACAAATACACAACCTGAAACCAACATTAAGAAGAAAAAGGTTGGCACGAGATACAAACTGTACTCACCGTTTCTGTTTTCACTATCAGCAGGTTTCATCTGGATAGGGTGATGCATCTACATATACATACAGAACACAAGATCATCAGGCTCACATAAATACCACTTAACACGATACGTACAATTCTGATACAAAAAATGTGCACATAACACTCAAGAATCTAGAGAAAGAAAACAGAAAACGTGTATACACACCACTACAGCATACTAAAATGTAAACAAATGTGTACGTTAACCACCCAAACAAATGTTAGCAAAAATATGATGCACACACTAAAGTATGGGTGATAATGCGAAACATATATAAACTTGTTATAATCAAGAGTCAGATCATATAAAATAATAATAATAAATAATATAACGAACAATTTTCTAAAACCGTGCTAGAACAAGAGATTTTCGTTTCGTGGCCAAAGCTATTTTAATACACTACCAGTGTCACGATTTTGTAATAAAAAACGAAAAAAAAAAGGTATTTCAAACATAAGCTAGAGTTTACTTTTTTCTTGCATCTTTCCGCACTACTTTGATCTTACGTTTAAGCTGATTTTTGAATGAATATTTCAGTAAAACTGCAAGAATGCATGCGATTTAACACAACTCTCCTGGGATCTGAACAGACCAATAATTTATATTTATTTATAGCATCCAAATGTTTGTATGATTCGTGTTTATTCATTATGACGCAAGGACAGTGCTATGGTAAACGATATAAATCTGGACTACAGGGTGTCCAAAAACGAGGAGGTCTTATAGATTTATTTTCACCTTATAGATTAAATTTGGTAGTTAAGAAAAACTTACCACAAAATATTGATTTCAATGCATTAATTTTGTTTTCTGTGGCCCAGTATTAATGAATAACAGAACTTCTCACGAATATGCTGGAATTTTATTTCTCCATTGGAACTTGAATTGTTCAAATTCCAGATTACCAAATGCGAGCTTTAGAAATCAAGCCGTCGAAAACCCCAGCTAAAATAGCCGAAGAAAAGACTGCCAAGAAAAATAAAACATTTCCTCAAAACTCTCAAATATTTAATTAACTAACCTGAATTATGTGTTCAATAAAGGAACAGAGATCCCATTTTTAAATAAACTTGAGAGCAAGTTATCAAGAGGTTGTCCCACAATCCCCCAAACTAATATCTAACCCTGAACGATATTATGGCTACTTTAAAATGTTCTAAATAATTTATCCAACTGTTTTAACAGTTTCAAACTAACGGAAGAACATTTAATCAAATCTTGCTCGTTAAACTGCAAAGCTATTACTTACAGTCAGTGTATAAACCACACGTTATATATGACAGCCTTGTCAGTTACAGCCTAACACATCGACTACACACTTAATAAGTTAATAAATTATATCAGTATGGAGTCTTAATTACATGGATAATTTTATTGGGGACACACATCAAACCTGTTCTCCTCGTATCTTTATCAGCAATATTATTCCTAAATTTTAAGGGGGGGAGAGGGCGATAAAGAAATTACTCACTCTTCCGGAGTACAAACCTTTAATGAAAATATTTATACGTAGTTGAAACCTGTATTAATATACATATATAGCTAGATGTGTTGAATAAAGCTATTAATCAAACACTGACTTAATGCCACTGTTGTACTAGTTTCTGGTGTCTTTTACAGCAAAGAATATTCTTACGATACTTTGCTGATTACACACTTCACTGGTGTTCACATATTTTTATATTACATTTTACAAAAGGAATATTAAGCGTAATGTTTTTTGTTTGTTTATTTGCTAAATACGACTTCAGTCTACGTATTTGTATTATATAAGTGCTCAGTATCTCAGATCTGTTATCCATAAAAACCAGACTTATGTTTATAATAAATGTCACTGGAATGTCACAAGTCAATTTTCTAATGCACATACAACTTGGGCTGTTTCTATGCTGCATACTCTAACAGGGCAACATGACACCGAACACAAAAAAATCAAGTATGAAATAAGAGAGTCTAAATGGTGTACTTGCGGTACAATGCCAAGGTTAACAAATTTCTACGATGTATCTGCAAATACAAGACAGGCTGACGAATGGTGTTAATTACAGCACGTCAGTGATAACAAGCTTAAACAATAATGTAGCTGTATCCGTCGTAACTACGGTGGAATCATATCAAAGATAACAAGCTTACACAATGTAGCTGTATCCGCCGTAACTGCGGCTGGATCATATCAAAGATAACAAGCCTACTCAATGTAGTTGTCTCCGCCGTAACAGCGGCTGAATCATATAAAAGATAACAAGCCTACACGGATACAGCTACATTGTACACAATGTAGCTGTATCCGCCGTAACAGCGGCTGAATCATATAAAAGATAACAGGCCTACACAATGTAGCTGTATCCGCTGTAACTGTGGCTGAATCATATCAAAGATAACAAGCCTACACAATGTACCTGTATCCGCCGTAACTGCGGCTGGATCATATCAAAGATAACAAGCCTACACAATGTAAATGTATCCATAGTAACTGAAGCTGAATCATGTCAGCGATAGTAAATCAACGCGATGTACATCACTCCAGAGAAACGGAGTCGCGAATGCCCCTACAGAGATGTAAGCAGAAAGAAAGTCTCGAAACACAGAATCTAAAAGTTCTAGCTGTACAGGAAAAGGGTTGAAAGCGTAACTGAACAATTGTAAGAGCTGCACGTCAATGAGGCACCAAGTCTTTCTGGTGTAACATGATTTGTGGTGGTAGTAGCTACACGGTGACAGGGACACAAAATCCTAGGTTGTGTACCTGCATCAGCGGTAGTAGAAATCCCATAGTGACAGAAACGTCAAATTTTTAGGCTGTGTACCTGGATCAAGTAAAAGTCCCACGGCGACAAGGATACCAAGTCACTAACCTTTAGTGCTTGTATCAGTGGTACACCACATAGTGTCTATACTACTTAGAAACTAACAGCGTAAAAAACAACAAAGTGGCTATGATATATATGGTTATGTTGACAGTACATTCCAGATACTATGTTACGTTCAAGAATTGTCTGGATAACCAAAAATGATATTCGGCTACAAAACTTCTAACCAAAAATTTAAAAATACAGTACTAGCTATCATCAGCATTTACACAACAGGTGTTACCGAACACTTTAATCAGCAGATAACGCTTTGTCACACACACAAAGCTTCATTACTCTTGTGTAAGCTTTAGTAACTAACAATACTAAATGTATGTAGGTACTACTCCTGAAACTAATATAAAAACAATAAAAATCGTACCAATACCATCTTATTACAGAAGATTACCTGCCTTATATTAAAGCAATTTTGAATAAGCAAGTCAGTGATACAGAGTAGCGGTGGAACGGAAAGTACCAAAGCTACATTTTGACATTGTTCGACGTTCGTAAGTAGCGTGATGTCATCGAGAATTGATTACTTTTGAAAAGGGTATGCAAGAGCCCTTTCCGACGCAACATATACACTCCGATAAAAAAGATGTGTCCAGATCGAAGATTTAGAATTTTCAACACGGGGATATCCCTTGTACTTGATGGCATTGGTAACCAAAAGAATATGTATCAACTCGAGTCTTTTGTTTGTTGGATTTCGCACAAAGCTACTGCAAGTGCTATCTGCGCAAACCATCCCAAATTTTGAAATGACAAACAAGAGGGAAGGCAACAAGTCAATACCATTCGCCGTCAACTCTTAGGCCAATCTTTATCAACGAATAGTGGGATTGATCATATCTTATAACGTCCCGACGGTTGAAAGAGCGAGCATCAGAGACGGGTTTGAATCCCGTGATCCGAAGATTAAGAGTAGAACACACTAATTGTTAGGCCTAGTTTGAGGCAGCAGGACTATGTAGAAAGATACCTGCAACAACTCGTATCCCAACTGTGGTCAGTGCGCCATCTTGTAACAGGTGAGATTACACGAACATAAACATCAGTGGCAAAAGTCATCTACGTATCCCAGGATATAGTATACAACATAATCAATAAATATTTCTGTCTGGCAAAGCGACACAAGTTGCTTCCACAACACATTTGTTCAACCTTCGCATACCTCAAACATCTAGAGAATGAAACGTGTATTCATACTTTTCCATATGAAGAGATATCGGTTAAGTCCGCGCGCAGCGCCTATGCAGTTTTGCACGATTGGACCGTTGAAACGAACTCTAGGAAATCAGTCGTCATTCTTATATAGTAGATAGCTTATAGAAAACATACAGAAGTAGTGGTGCCTTTTGACATAATAGTCTTGAGAGTGAAAATTTTGCATTGGAAACTATGAAGTAGAACTTTGTCAAGATACGCGACCGTTAGACAGCTCACGACCGGACGTGGTGAAATGGACTATAACGACGTGGCGAGAGTCCAAAATAGTTTTTATATTATGTACTCAACCTTGTACATCTTACTGCTAATCTCAGGTTAAACATGTTTTGCTATGCAACTCACGATGAAATAACGGCTAAATTATCACGCTATTTTCAACTCATGAGCGATTTGGGCAAGATAATTGAAGAAGGAAAAAATGTAATATCACAAATAATCCACTAAGTATGCTCCAATGCCAATACATAAACCAGAAAAAAACTAAAGAAAAAACAAAAAGAGACTGCCATAGCTTTTAAGTAAACTAAAGAACAATTCTTTTGTAAGTCTTTACCTATGATTTAATGAGAAATTCGGAAATTTAAATCAATGCAAAATATTGCCAAGAAAACGTTCTTTCAACGACAGTATCATACAAAAGCAAGAACAGAAATGATAATATCGAAACACAAAGGGATGCTACTCTTTCAATAGTGTATAATGCATGCATGCACTCAGTCAGTTTCCGTAACTCTAATGACCCTTAAAGGCAGAGTTCAGAGGAAGAAAGACAACCGTATACAGAGAGAGAATAGATTTAGAGAAGCTACATAGGTCGTTCTTTACTCTTATAGAAAGCTTGGAATTTATTAGGCTGTGAAATAAATTCTAGAAGTATAATATTCGAGAGGATCGATTGCTTCATCAAATACCATGTAAAAAGTGCTTAATAACTGTATATATTTT